GAGGAACAGCAGCCCCCAGTGAACCCACACCCCTACCCAGACATCACCAAGCTCCTTCTAGAGAATGTATTTCATTAAAAGCAGAGCCCAGGACACCAGGCCTGCTAAGTTACTCCCCACATCCCATTACTATTTTTAATCTGATTTGTGGTCACAAAATTCCTCTACTTTTAAAATTCCTTAACCGTCCAAAAGGATGCTTATTTCTCCAACCTTGTGGCGAGCCAGCAGCTTGATGTGCTGGCCACATCAGGTGCAAGACCCACACAGAAAACAAGTCATGTTTATATGATCAGAACCAAGGATGAGTGACAACAACTTCATTACGTTTTTCTAATAAACCATATGTAATCAGGCAGGGGAGGGTGTAAGTGAGACAGTTTCCTTACCTTCACTTTCCCTTTGACAAAACTAACAATATCTTCCTTATTGTCAAACACAGACAAAGTATGGAGCAAGTTTTGTTCCAGCCATTCCCAGTGCTGGTTTATTTCCTCTGCAGTGGCACCTAGAAAGGCAAAAAATAGTATATTGAAACTAATCTTATAAAAAATAAAATTGAAAGGAAGGAAGAAAAAAACATAATAAAATGCACTATTTCATAAATTCATTATGAGAAACTGAACTTTCAACCTCAGAATTCTTAGCAGCAAGCAGGTCAAAAAGGTCTTGTTCATAGCAGCATAGTTAGAGAAAAACAAAAATCTCATTGTTTTAGAGAATTAGTTTTAGGGCTTTTAGTTTTATCTTCTCGAATGCGCTCAGCCAGCAAATGCTGCATTAGAAGTCAAAGCAGAAAAAACATCAAAACTTCATCCTGAGCTGCTAGACTGCAGCTTATTCTGACATGACATCCTCCAGGCCAATGGAAACCTCTGATTTATGCCCTTATCTTCCTCTCTGCCTCCCTCAATACACACACATGCACACACACTCCCCCCACCCACAAACACATGCACACCCTTTGAGAGGAATACAAAGCCCTCTATAATAAATAAAGTACCTAAAAAGGAGTTTGGTTCAGCAACACCTAAAGGTTCTACAAGTGCCCATTTCTACAGTTTGGGGAAAAAATAATGTGAACAAAACTTTTTGACTAATACAGCTTTTCAAATCTTTAAAGCTTCTTTCTCTAAACATCTGAAGGGTTTGCTGGTTCTTTAAATGTAATCTGTTCACACTAACTCCAGAAACAATATTTCACTCATTACCAATTTGCTTTGGCTCCTTCTGCTTGAAAGTGAATTGTCTCTGCATGACACGACAGAAAAGTCATAGCAAGATGGGCACCATACAGGGCCAACAAGGGAAAATCTGCCCCTCCAGATCTAACTGGTCAGTAATTAGACATTATAGGCAAAAAACTAAAGGCAGCAATAGTTGCTTCTCCTAGTGCCTTGCTTGTGGAAGAAAGAAGATAAATAGTTGTATGTAAGAGACATACAAATCACCCATGAATATAATAATACAATTAATCTCAAATAGAAGACCCATTATCTCAAGATTTGTTTTGTGTGTACATTAGTGATGCATCATGTTGCCTCACAACAACAAAATATTATAAATTTAGAGGAGGATTTTCCATTTCCCACTGCTCTGTTTTCCATGCAGAATGCCAGCTGGCAGGGAAACCTTCCATGCTTTAACTTCCCTGACAGGAAGGTCTTGTACTGAAACTTCTTAAATATCATTAATCAAGGTTAAATTTAAATTAAAATATCATAAAATTAGAGATACTTAAAAGCCCTTTAGGTCAAGAAAACAATTTATATAAATTTTTAAGAACACCAGAAATACAATAATTTTATACTGAAATGGCTGCACAAAGCAAATACTGAGTTGAATCTTTATTTCTGAGTAACCTAAAAGATATCAAGTGTATGGGCAAGCTGTCAGGCTGCCTCTTGTGAAATAAACTGTGAGCAAGATCCCTTAGATAGTAGTATCCACACTGCTGGGACTGCTCTGAGCCCAGGCAGCAGCTATACTCCACAGAGACTCCTTCAATATCTCCTGCCTGCCTCCAGAGTTTCTGATTGAATACCAAAAGATCATTTTGGCCCTTTCATTTGGTCAAGCAAACTCAACTTTTTGAGTCCCTTCTTTATTTCTAATTTCTATTTTGTAGTTTAAAGTTGTTCTGTGATTTGACCCAAGCATCACCAATCTCTTATTTCCATTCCTTATTCCTCTTCCTGTGCTGATGTTCTGCACAGCATTTTATTCCACCTTTTACCACCTTCTTCATCTGTCAAGTGTTTTGTCTAACCACAGCCTCATTCCTCAGAATCTTTTCTTTAAACTCACTTTGCACCAAATCCTTTGTTCTCCCTCTCCTAAAACCAACTTTGCTTGACTGAGACTTGAGTTTCTTTTTTGCCATGAGCCTCTGAAAGGAAAATTTCAAGTGGCCCTACACAAGGGATGAGGTTAGGTTTTTTTTTGCCTGTACTGGTATAACATGATTAACCATCTGGATTAAAACATCTCTGCCAGAACAGCCGTGCAGGGATCAGATTTCCTAGCGCCCCTCTGAGATTTGCAAATGTCTGTAACAGACCTGACCCTTATGCATATATTATCATTTAAGCCTAGAGCTCCTGGAACAGAGGACTGCCAACATACAATGCAAAATGTCATTTTAATTAACGGCTTGATGACATGATGGCTATCCACAATTAAGTTACACTGGGAGGCTGGAAGGAGTGAGTTTCTGGAACTGCTCCTTGCCCTCACTATACAGCAGCAGGAACAGGCCACTCCTGTGAGGGGAATGTCCTTCTCCACCTTCCCAAGAAGGGGCTGGGGTGATGCTCCTCTGACTCCCATTGCTAGCTGTCCCCTGGACACTCATGTCAGGGTTTCACAGCAGCAATATTATTCACAAACAGCCTCTGCTCCACGGTTCTTTAGTTCTGTGCAGCTCTGGCAACTGTGTACATTCTACCCCTGCAGCACACAAAACAGACCCCTCTGCTTTCCGCTCTATTACTATAAATCTCATTTTCTCAGTGATGAGCATCCATTCAGAAGAGCCAAAGAGAATTTTAGAAAACGTTAATCACGTAAGTTTGTCTCAGCAAAATCCTTAGCCATTCTAACCCAGCAAGTTTGTAATTTGTAATTCCTTCAAAAAAAAAAAAAATCAAAAAACCACACCAAATTCTGTGTGCAGTAAGAGTGTGGGTGGGGCAAGGATCAGCCCCAGAAAGTAGTACTGCATATGTTCAAATAATCAAGAAGCCACAAAAGCAATGCTTTTCCAGCTAAAGCTACCTGGTTTCATCACAGGACTGTAACAGCATGAAGGTCTTAAATTTCTCCATGAGATGGCATTACTTAAATATAAAAAGGAGGGGAGGAGGGATAGAAAGCACATAGCAATTGCAAAACAAAAAAAAACCTAGCCAAAACAAAAATAGCCCAAACAGACTTTACGCAAGCTTTTTCACACACACATCTGGCCCAGGGAAAAATTCCCGATATTAATGGGGAACAATTAGAGGGATCTCTGCTGAACCAAGGAAAAATTGCTGGATGAGCATGTAGAGAGGAAAGGGTTAGGGTGAATATATGAACTGACTCTTCCACTTAAAAGACTACTATGTCAAACACTATCAATGACATGCCAATATTTACATTATCTATTTCATGGCTTGATCTGTATAAGAAAGAATAGAAAAAGATAGCATATTTTCAGTTGGAAGGGATCTACAACAATCACAGAATGGGAAAGGTTGGAAGGCACCACAATGGGTCATCAGGTTCAACCTCCCTGGTCAAGCAAGGTTATCCCAGAACATATTGCACAGGATTGTGTCCAAATGGTTCTTGGAAATCCCCAGTAAGAGGAACTCCACAACCTTTCTGGGCAATCTGTTCATTTAGTAACAGGCCCACATTATTCTTTGTTTTCCTTTTGTTATTGATGCATTCCAATAAGCTCTCCTTGTTTTCCTTGAAATCCTGGGAATCATTTAGTCCAACTGACTGACCACATCAGGACAGACCAAAAGCTATAGTTACTGAAGTTAGGGGCATTGTCTAAATGCCTCTTAAACACTGGCAGCTTTGGTGGGACATCAACCACCTCTCAGAAGGAATCCTGTTCCAGGATCTGGCCACCCTCTCGTTAAAGACATGCTTCTTAATGCTCCCCAGTCACAGCTTTGAACCATTCCCAAAGAAAACTGCTGTAAATTTCAATGCTAGGATTTTGTAGATGGGAGCAGAAAAAGTAAGAACAGCCCTGCACACTGGCCAAGCAACAGTGGGATGAATGGAACTTCAGATAGCTTTTACTGGGTTGTGGTAAGATTGTTGCAATTCATGTTAATATCATGTTCCTGAACATGAGCTTGACTTTCAGAAGTTACAGAAACATTGCAAACGGGATTAGTGCATCACAGACCAGGAATTTGACATTCCCTCCCTCCCTAACAACTTTACCTCCTAAATCTTCTAAATGTTCCAGTTATATTATAGCAAAGTGTGTGAAGACATTTCACAGTAAGCAAGTGAAAGACTAGGCTGGTGAAAGCCTAGACTAAGTAGCTCCTTGCTGTAAGGGATAACCACTACTGTATAAGATATGCATAGGAACAGAACCACACTACTTTGCAACAGAGAAAATGAAAGCAGCAAACAACCCTCAGCTAAACAACTTTTCCATTGAAACTTAATGCTCCTAGGTAACACTTTTTCAGTGATTTTAATCAGAGGTTAATTTGGTTGTTAAACAAGCTTTCCACACGCACACAGCTAGCTGGGGTTACCTTGAGCTTCCTGGACATGCAGACACTGACCATGCTCAGAATCGGTTTGGGGTTTTCCATCTGTGACTCACCAATAGCTATGGCCCAGTAAACTTCTGATCCATTCAATAACTCACCACATGCAATGGCAGAGTAAACCTGTGAGCCTGGAACTTGGAGTAAAATTCGAAATGGAGCAACGCGTGCATTAGAGTCTAACACGGCATCTAGGGCACCAACCAGGCGACCTGCAAGGAGAAAAGGGGGAAGAGGATTAATGCCAGTTCTCACTTCTGTAGCCTGCAAGCTGTTTCATATTTAAAGCTGTAAAATTAAAATACAGATGTAATGATAACAATTCTTCCCCAGTTTTATATTCTAATTTACAGGTGCTCAGAATGCAAAAGGCAAACGAGATTAGAAGTTCAAAAGCATGTAGAATCCTCTGCATTTCTGGTTTTGCCTCATATATATGTATATAACCACAGAACTGAAGTGGAAGGACCTGAGGGCATCTTAAGAAGTTACTGTTCCAGCCCTGCTCTGAAGTTGGATACATACACCTATACGGTAAGTGGGGTTTGTCTAACCTGTTCTTCAAAACCCGCCACAATCAAGATGCAACAACTTTTCCAGGCAGCCTCTTCCACTATCTTCATTAAATATTCTTAGGGAAAAAAAAAAAAACCAAAAAAACAAACAAACAAAAAACCAACAAAAAGCAAATAAAAAAACCCAAAAAACCCATACAAAAGCCAAACCAACCAAACAAACAAAACCAGCAAAAACCAAACAAAACCAAACAAAAACCTTAACAAACAACCCTATCCCAAACAAACAAGTCACCTACCACAATCTTAAATTTTCTTGCTGGAAATCTCGCTCCCTGAACATGCAGAGTAACTGACCACAGGCACTTCTGATATTAATGTTCAACATAATGAAAAAGTAACATCATGGTTTCCCACCCTTTAATGATTTCTCTTTTTCTAAAGAAACCCAAAATTACCTCATCTATTCCTTATGGGTCATGTTTTTCAAACAGCTCACTGTTCTTGAACTTACACTGGAATGTCTCCATTAAATTAAATTATCTTTCAGAATGACACTCAACTGGACCTGATGCTCACCGCTACTGAAGTCTCACCCGCTAGCAGAACGGAAGATCGTCTCCTCTATCTTGCATACGTACCACTGTATCCAAGAAAGCCTGCAGCAGTATCCCACTGTAAATCAGCACTTGGTTTCAATACAGACAAATTAATTTTTAAGAGCTGCAACAATTCCTGACCCCAAAAAAGACTCTCCAATCTGGAGACACCTAGAGTTCCTGGAGCTTCTTGCTACCTATTCCCCTGAGCAGGCAAAACCAAGCTATCCATGAAAAAGTTCTCTGAATGCCATGATTTTCATATGCAAGCTTGCATATTAAAGTAACTCAGAATTGGTTTATGGTGCTTACAAAGAGCAATTCAGGGCAGCTTTATACTCAGTTTTCCTGTGCATTCTGCAGAGACACAACATCCTAAGGAGAGGGATGGGCAAAGGGTGAGGAACAGCTTTATCATGTTTGTTTTATCCCTAGAGCATCTAGGAAGTTTTCTGTAATACTTTTTTTTCACTTTGCACATGTAACTTTTTAAACCTGTTGTATTTTTGTTTCTTCACCATTGACCCAACACAAAAGGAAATAATCTCCATCTCCAAAAAGTTTGTCAGCCCTTGGCACCACATACTGTTTTAAATAGGGCATTCTCCAGTCCATCACCCAAGTGATTAATGGAAATAATAGAGCCCTATGAAGTCCTAATTGCCTTCTCACTTGGATAACAAATGACAGCTAATTAATTTGAGTATAACACAACCAAACAGCATTTCAACCACTTTCTGGTCTAGAAGCTGTAAGAAGCTCACATGGAACAGCATCAATTACCTGAGAGCACAAAGAATTACATTAAATACTTCCTCCTTGCACACACACAAAACATTGATGATGCTTTCAAAGCCAAGCAGAAGTTGGACACAGTATGTCTTAAAACTGTACAGTGAAACATTCTTCAACAGGAGTTTGCTTCTCACTTAAATATGTGACCAGATATTACACTCATCTATTTAAAATGGAGACCTGAATTTGCAGACTGATGACACATATAATATCTGAAGTTGCTACATGCTCTCCTATAAATACAAGAAAAAGGCATAAAAACTCATCCTAGTATAAAAGGTAGCAAATTGGCTGTGCTCACAGAAAACTGTGTGCAGAAAACTTTAGTGTGCAGTCTTCAAAACAGCTGGATTAAAGCCAGTAAGAGAGCATCAAATGATGCAGAGAACAAAAACAGGGTTTAAATTTCAAATTTTGTAAGAATTGAGACACCACAGAAAAGAAAAAGAAGACATTTCTGTGCTGTGCATGTTTTCCCCTGATGATAGACCTAGGAGAAAGATTATTTTTCATTTCACTAAAGTCATAGAAAAAAGTCAACTAACAGCAAGTGCTACCAAAATCCCTAGGGAATGCTTAACGAAAATCTGATTTATGAAATACCATTTTTTTTCCTTTCAGAAACCATGAAAAAAATACATGACAGCACAGAAGTAGCCGCAAAGTTTTGCTTTACTAATTCTTAGCCTGTGCAAAATTAATTCCTTTTTCTCTTCCTGAATAGAAGACCAGAAAACCCAATTCCTCTTCTCACTGTTTACTTCTGCTTGCAATTTCAATTTTGCTTACAAACTATTAAAAAGAAACCTATTCCTCCTTCAACTGTACAAAGAAATAATCACCTCCCTTTTCTAAACTACCCATAGCTAAAATATTAACTCAGGATAACAAAGAGGAGCCAGAACTAAGATGCAAATAGAAGAAAAAGAGTGTGGCCATCAGAATACCTGCCAGAATAAAGCCCAGGTGGCCTGGCCCCTCTACAAGCACTTTGCAAAGAACAGCAACTCCACACCTAAAATCTAAGGCATCCACAGGGAGTCCTGTCCTGTCCCACCTCTGCCAGGAGGGGCTGCAGTGGGGCTGCTGCAGAGGGGACATAAGGGGAGCAATGGAAAACAAGAGCAAGTACTGCTAAAGTTGGGCAAGCACAAAAAGTGGGTCCCATTCCTGTGTTTGGGGGCTCCTTTATTTCTTGGATGAGAGACTAAGAGTGCATTTGCAGAAGCATGAAAAGGATAAACACTAACATATACACGCTGGCCAATATGGTAATTTAATTGAAACTGTGGTAGCAAGAAAACTACAAAAACTAATTCATTGTGGGTAACATTTGCATCATAACATTGAAAAACAACCAACCTAAAGATCCCCGAGTGAAGAAACAAACAACAGTACATTAATGCTGAAACCTGCTTTGAAAAATACCCGGCTTGTGAGCAAACACCTTCCTCATAACATATTCAAGTTGGTTCCATGGAAGGGCCTTTTTTAAAACAGAATGGTATCTGGCTAGCAAGATAAATTACATTAAGAGCCTCTGGCTCACATATTGATGCATTCAGCTTGCCTTCAGTCAGGGTGATGCAGACTTCTTCCACATTACAGATGAAAGTGAAACCATTTATACTTCAGGACAGCAAAAAATGAAAAGGAAGCAGAAGCAGAAGAGGAAAAGAGAACTGCTAGCCTGGTTTTCTTCCCAAAACTCCCTTTTTATTTCTTTTTTTTAAATTTTTTTCTTTTTACCCTATATGAGACAAGATTTCTGGGAGGAACTTAAAATGCAGAGCAGCTCTTCCCCTTTAATTAGCCACTTCACCAATTTCTTGTCTGTTTTCTGACCTCCCAAGACACAGAAATATTTCAGGAAAAGCAATTAACCACACAGTAACTGTACTATGGAAAGCTGTAGACATGGGTTTACAAAGCCTTCCATGAAAGACCACTGACAGAACATTGCAGGTTCCTCAAAAGGTGCAGGTTTCTTCATGCAGAAGGAATATTTTTAGGCTAAAATTCACATGCAAATGTCTGGTGTCATATGCGTACTTTTGACACATATGGAGAAGAAGACAGGAGAAGTGGAAAGACACTTTTCTACTGAAATTATATGCTTCTCAATAAATCTAAATACTTTAGCTGGAAGCTGTATTTCAGATAGAGGCAATATCTATCTATATTTTTCAGAAGTAAATTTATAAAACATATCTGGTAAACTCACTGTCTCTCCTTTACAGAGGTCAACCTGTAACCAAATAGAACACAATCAGGACGTCATGCACTACGAATTTGCTGAGCATTTCTTCACACACATACAAAAAAATTAATCAAGGATATTTCTATAAGATCCAGGTTCTCAAATGAACTCTCAGAAGTGCACTACTCTTCATCTTTGAAGATATGGCTTCTTCCCCTAAATAAAGATAAAAGATCCCATTACAATTTCTATTGTGTCATGTTTTCATCTAGGAAAATGAACATGTTTACAGTAAATTAACTTTACATCAACTTCTACTAAATGTTCCATATCTTTCAAACTAAAGAATGCAGGCTCCTTTCCTGAATCTCTGTTGACCATCCACATCAGATTTCTAAAATTGTTTTAAACTTCCAAGACATGGGGCAGAGGGTGAGTAAAGCTGAACTCAAACTAGAAACTCAAACCAAAAAACTATCTGTTATTTCCATCTTTTATGACAATGTTCAAGAGGCAGTCCAAGACACCCTCTCTACATACAGCAAGATGATTTCTACCTGCCTCCATCATATATTAAAGGCCTTAAAGGAAAACTTTTGAGAACTACTCAAAAATAGGATGGCCAGTTCAGCAACTAAACCATGCTGCAAGGCAGACGGACTTTGGAGTCTGGGACTAATACATTAATAAAACCCTCCCAAAAATAAAACAAAAAGGGAAAAGGCCACTGCTTTTTTTTTCTTTTTTTTTTTTTTTTTCCCTTGGCGGGGGGGAAGGGGATTGGGAGAAGAAAAAAAAAAGGTAATTTAAATCTAAGTGGCAAGGAAGCCTTTGCATTGTTACCCTTGCAGTTTTACTTGGGTTTTAAGTACATTTAGTCACCACAGCCAGGATCTTTTGATTAACATGAACTCATTCATCCATTACAAAGTGGGGAATAAAAGCCAATGTACTTCAAAGAAGCAATTACATGCGGTATCTGCAATTGATCACTAAGAAATTCTGATGGCACTTTTAAATCTGGGGAAGAGCAGGTCAGATGAACAGAGACACTTGTTCCCACACAGCCCTGAACTTCCCAAATCAAGCACTTACACCCTCCCTTACCAAAACGAAAGGGGTGACAGAAAGACAGAGTCCAGCCTGCGTCTCCAGCATCCTGAAGAACACCTTTAGTCACTGTACAAACAAACTGACTGCTGCAGAAGTTTGAAGCAGAGAGAAAACTGTCCTTCCATTTCTCCTAAGTCTACTTTGAAAAAATAAAAAATACTTGAGATTTCCACTGCACCTGAGACCAGCTCAGCTGGACAGATGTGCAACAATGCCTGACTTAAGAGCATCTGTCAAATCTAGCCCTTCCAAGAAAATGGGCACAGGACCACTGTTGGAGTTCTGGATGCTGAAAATTTTAGACTTTCTGTACAGACAGACTCTGACTCCCAGCAGAGAACTGCACTGGGCCTGAGGTCATGGAATGGGCTTCCAAAATTGATTGACAGCACTACACTATGGGTGTGTAGTTGGTTAGAAGTGTGCAATATCACAGCGTGGAAAATGTAAGAGTTTGGGGTTTTAGAATATAGTAATAAATATGAAGCAAGATGGAAGTTTTATGGCAGAGGCCTAAAACCACCATACAAGGACCCAAACCAATATGCTCAGTGACTTCAAAACTGAGTTTTCTCTTGGCTGCAGGCATCTGGCACTTCCAAAGCCATGAAAATTATGGCACCACATGGTCTCTAGGGACTGCAGTGGCTGATCTGCAGCAACATGAAAAAGAGCACTTGGTGGCTGCACTCACTCATATCATACCAAAGCCATGTTTTAAGTACTCATACCTTCTTTTTTTCAGTCAGACTGGGTTATTTTTGTAAGACAAAGCCAGCAAATTGGGGTATTTACAATTACAGTCACAGAGCAGCATTGCTCCAGTGCAAAACCATGAAGGAAAAAGCATGCCTTCGAATTCATCCTGGGGAGCTCACTGCTGCTTGCTACATCTGCTCCACCAGAGAAAGCTGCGGGCAGAAAGAAAAATAAGCCCAGTTGTCTGAAAAAAGCTGTAGTCTTACTGGAAGGGAGAAAGCTCTTCCAGGAAGTGGAAGGAGCTAACAGTACAGGCTGCTTCCCAGTGGCTGCAGTTTTACAAGGAGAGTCAATAACTGCAAGAATCACTCTAAGCTGTTTAGGCACGTGAATTGGTAGAAAAGAACAAATCAAACAATTCACATGATCATAAAAATAAAGTATTTTTTTAAGGACAGTGAAATTGAACTAACAGCTTCAATAAAGCAGAATTAATCTTGGCTTTTTGAGGCAGGGAAGTACATCATACCCTGAATCCTAATTACGCTTCTCCACATAACTTCCTCCATCCCGCAATGATTTGCAAACAATTAGTGTCTCAGAAGAGCGATGGTGGGCAGCAATTAGCCATGCCAGAGGAGGCAAGCAAACTGCCTGAAGGAACAGCCCACCGCCAGGCAGAACACAGGAAGGGACACATGGACGCAACCGTTCCCTTCCCCCTGCCATCCCTGGGCTCCGGCTGGAACAGAAACCTGCTTTTCACACCAGCCAGGATAAGCTCAGCCTGGCAAAAGGGCACTCCTGGGACAGCACCAAATAGCACAGATTGCTTGCCTGGCTCTGTAAGGCATTTCAGAAGCTCTCCCTAGGACCAATGTCCTTGCCAAGAGAGGGATGGGAGGACCACAAAGCTGAGTCTTATCAAGCCTCAACCAGCTCACCATGCAGGAGCCCTAACTTGTGACCATGACCCCACGGGCGCCCAGGGCAAGACCCAGGGCTGAGATGCAATGAGGACCACTGCAGCATCTCTCCTCACCTCTTACAGCCCACCTACAGAGTGGGCATTCCAGGCTAAGGTGGAAGCTTTGGAGCTGCACCAAGGAAGGATACAGCCCACGGCAGTGGCCATGAAGCTCCTGTTGGCCAGTGGTGGTCCCCAGCATAAATGATTTGGGACATCTCTAGATCTTTCATGTTATTTGATTTCTCGTAAAGTTCAAAACTCAGATGTTTAGCGGGTTGTTGATTTCACTTAGGCCACCCTAAAAATCCATGTTTTTGATGGATAACACCATCAGTTATGCAAAGCTGGTAATAACAACAGCTTAATGCAACCACACTGTCTTTGTTGAATTTTGCAAAATTGTATAAACAGGTTTTGATACAGCACAGTACCCATTCCAAAGCATTTATTACACTTCTACCACCAGAAAAAATGAGTTGCAAAACTTATTTGGTAAGTACATAAGAAAAAAAGATGAAGGAGGACTCCTCCAACAGCTTTAGGAAGGCTCTGTTTCCTTTAAAACGATAAGGCCTCACCACACTGAAAGATAAGTATAGACAACATTAGATTTCAGCATAAAGACCTAATGCTGCAAGTATTTATTCACCCAGGAAAATACCCAACATTCAAGCCCTTAGATAACTTCTAGCACAGACCTTGCCAGATCAAACACTGCCACTGCGTAAATTGGTTTCTGTTGAATTGGGACTTTTTTCAACCTAGTATGCAGAAACAAATTGCAACAAAACACTTCATCATCACGTCGATGTGCCAGTGCTCTGGAGGGAAGGTGGACATGAGAAATGTGGGGAGTTCACGCATTTCACTGTGGGGGTTGGTGTCCCATAGTCCTCATGACTCCCATATTCTCTGGATGTGATGCTAAGTGCTTGTGTCAGACCACCACGTGCAGAGGGAGAGACCACACAGGAGGAAGAACTGAGATAAATTATGAACTGTCTCTCCTGGAATGGTGGAAACAGCATCCCCACCCTGGAGCACCGATTACTTCTCCCCAGCACAGCTTCCCCATGGGCTGTTTCCCCAGGTGGGCATGCTGCCATGGCAAAGCCCTCAACAGCTGCTTATCTCAGTCCTCTGCCATCAGTCCAGTCCAAGCCAAGCCTATTTTTATAGCCCTGAAGGCCACTGAGCCAAATGCTTTGGTTCTCATGTTACAAGTAAAAATACCTGAAACTGTTTTCCACCAGAAAATGGACAAGAAGATGAGATATACCAGTTGCTGCTGCAGCCCTGTAAATTATTCAGGCATGCACCACTACTTTGGGGAATATAAAAAAGTCTCTTTTTTAGTGGGTGCTGTAAGTAATGCTGAATAGACCAAACTAGTGATACATTAACTCTGCCACCACTGACATGCTCATTTATTTTATGGAAAGACATTTTTTCCTACAAGGGTGGTGAGACACTGAATCAGGTTGCCCAGAGAAACTGTGGATGCCCTATGCTGGAAGTGCTGAATGCCAGCCAGGCTGAATGGGGCTCTGTGGTAGCAGTCCCTGCCCATGGCAGGGGGGTTGGAACTAGATGGTCCTTAAGGTCCTTCCAGCCCAAATAATTTTAGAATTTTCCTGCTTTTTTCTGTGACATTTGGCCTCCACATCATGAAAATAAAAAGCCACTGTAGGTGTTTACTGGATTAGTCTTGCACAAGGTGGTGGTCAGTCCCTGTGCAGACACAACCCTCCTTTCCAAGCACAGGTACTTCCTAAGTGCTTTAATATTAGCACTTAACACACTGCTAACCTTTCAACACAAGCACCTGCATTTCACCTTAGCCATCTCAGCACCACTGTAGTGCTCAGGAGCAGGTAACTCACCCCAGAAAGGCAAGCAGAGGGGGCCAGAATGGAACACACAGCTCAGGGGGGGTCAGAAGTCAGGAATTGGGGTGCTCAGCTTTGCAGGTAGTACCTTGGGCACCCTGCTCCTATCCTTCCTTCCAGCTGATGCCTCTTGGCCAAACACTATAACAGAGAAGCCATCCTTTTGGAAAAGTGCTTCAAAGTATGTGTTCTCCTTAAAAAATATTACAGTAAAATAAAGAAAGGAAAAAGGGGGAAAAAAAACCTGCTGATCTGAATTCCAGTTGTGGGTAAGGCTAGATAATGTTTTGACAAGAGTCCAAGCTTTCAATAAAGTATGTATATTTCTCTTTCTCCTGTGCAAGGCTTCAGAGAGCTGTTCTTTAAGGAAACAAAGCCATGAATACTGACAGCAGCCATTACCAATATCCTTTATTGACATCAATATTGTGGCATCTTCCTCTCCTCAAACTGCTTAATTTAAAATGAAAGTGTTCTGTTGGGTTTGGTTTTTTTTTTCATTTGTGCTCAGATTGAGCCTAACTTATTTTGGTATCCTGAACATATATAAGACAAAAAGGAATACTTT